GCCTGAGTCATAGAATCCATGAACCGCAGCATACCGCCCATGACCTCCTGGAATCCTGGCGCGGACATGAAATTCCTAAGGCTGGCTCCGCTGCAGGCACCTTGCCTGCCCCTCAATAATAGGATCCTCTACTGGATCCGCTGGTGGCATAGCTCGAGCAATTTTGAGACATCCTCGTCCTCTACCACGGGTTGGAGCCCTCAGTCGTCCTCTGCCTCGGCCTCTAGCAATATGGGGAGTAGATCCTCCACGGTCGGGTATATCTGCAGTGCACATTCTCACAATTTGTGAGAGAATAAGAGAAAGATACTTAGCATAACATCAATTGCACGATAGGAGATGAAGAAAGAGTGGTTTCCTAACACCCTATAGCCCCTCGAAGATAAGTACGAACGTCTCCGCACCGATCCACAACACTCTATTAGGCCTGCTCATAACTTTTGAGACCTACGTGAACCTAGTGCTCCGATACCTCACGATCCAATTTCACCTATAGGCCGTGATGGCGTCCAATGTCGCCACTAGGCAAACCAACGGTAAACTGACCATATGATTACAATTTTTAATAAGTTTCCAAGTAAGTAAATCCCATTTATTAAGAAATTAAGGAATAAAAATTTTAATAAAATAAAACGAAAGCCACCAAGTGGGCAAAAATGTAGTGACATAGGTACTCCAAAACCATAACGTCTACTAGTGAGTGTGCAAAGACTTGGTGTCACAAGTGTACGAGCAACTAGTAGAATATACAAAACTCTAACTATTGTCTTAAATAAAGTAGATAGAATATAAATACAAAGAGAGACTCTAGGGGCTGCAGAACGGCTCAGGAAGTAACTTACCACTAGGCCTCGGGATATCTAGGATGCACTCCGGCATGACCGCCAGATGCACCTGCCGCAGATCCTGCACGATTAGTGCAGAAGTGTAGCGTGATTACATAAACAACATGTACTCAGTAAGTATCTAGTCTAACCTCGAAGAAGCAGTGACGGGGGGTCGACATCAACACTTACTACGGGCTAACAATAAAATACAGGAAATCTAAATAAGCATGGGCGATGTAAATAATAATTATAATTCAATAACAAATAGTGAATAAAAAATCATTTCACAAATAATAGATTCCAATTCAATTTCTGTCATTAATAATAACCTCACAAGCCACAAAGTAATATCAAGTATAATTAGGCTCCGAGTATTATCAAGCACGATTTATGCTGAGGTCGTACGGCCCGATCCAGAATAATGTATAGAATGCCGAGGGTCGTGCGACACGAACCATAGATGCATCTATTCTGCTGCCAAGGCATTCGGCCCGCTCTACAAGAAGAGAGGAAACTTTATGAACATCCGATTTAAAAGTTATTACAAGGCTAATACACAAAGAAGCACAATTTCTATTAACGGTCAAGTAACCCGCCAAAACTCAAGTAAGTGGTATTCGGTGTTTTACAATTCCTTTATCAAATTTCAATATAATTTAGGCACTTTAATTAACAATTATGGTGCAAAAATTACAAGATTTCATGATTTGGGTCCTAAAATACCCGGGCATAAGCAAAATTAGTAGCTACACACGGACTCTCGTCACCTCGTGCGTACGTAGCCCCCACAATTAGAAGCAAATATTAATTTAGATCACCTATGGGCTAAATTCTCTCTTACAAGGTTAGACAAGAGACTTACCTCGTCTCAAAGCTCACATTCCGGCCACAAATTCACTCTATAGACCCCACTTGGTGCCGAACAATCCACAACTAGCCAAATATTATATAAAAAAATCAATATACACTCAAGAGTTAATAACTTAGCTATTAGAGTAATTACCCAACCCAAATTGGAAGATTCCTAAAAATTCACCCCCCGGGCCCACGTGCTCAGATTCCAAAATTTTTTGAAGAAAGTTGTTACCGATAACCTTACGAACTCAAATATATAATTTTCATCCCATTCCATAATCATTTTCGTGGTTAAATTCTATTTTTATCAAAACCTAGGTTTTTATCTAAACCCATAATTTTACATGTTAAAATCTACCCATAATCTATATATTTAACCTACATCGGATAGATATTACTTATCTCCAATATCTAGGTGAAAACCCCTCTCTAAGAAGCTCCAAAATCGCCCATGAAGTGAGAGAAATAGGTAAAAAATGGCCTAAGTCCCGTTATAAATGAACCTTTCTACCTCCAGGACTTCCGCTTCTACGGCTCCGCATCTGCGTAAAAGGCCTTGCAGATGCGGTCCCCCCTCAGTTTGCCTCTTCCACATTTGCGGACCTGAGGCCCGCTTCTGCGGGACCGCTGCTGTGACGCATGTGCCGCACCTGTGCCTTTGGCCGCTTTTGCGGTTTCTTCCATCGCACCTAGGTGTTTGGAGGTGCGCACTCTCATCTGCATCTGCGATTTCTAGGCTGCCTACACTGGGCCGCTTCTGCGAGCTCGCACCAGCGGCTGGCCCTCTGCAGGTGCGATTGCACCAGAAGCTAGATGCTTCAGCTATTCACCCAAGGCCAAACGACCTCCGCACATTGTCCGAATGGCATCCGGGGCCCCCGAGGCCCCATCAAAATATACCAACATGTTTCAAATCATGAGACGGACTTGCTCGAACCCTCAGAATGCGGAAAACAACACCAACACCAAGAATCACACCCCAAACCAAATTGAATCAACTTATGAACTTCAAGTTCTTCCAACTTTCTCCAAACGCGCCGAATCATACTTAAACTACTCGGAATGTCTCCAAATTTTGCATGCAAGTCTTAAATCACCAAACGGAACTATTTCCAGGATCAGAATCCCAACGGAACTCGATAACACCAAAACCTACTCCAAACCAAATTTGAAGAACTTTAAAACCTTCAAGGTGCCAACTATCAATATTAAGCGCCGAAACGCTCCCGGGTCATCCAAAATCCGATTCGAACATACGCCCGAGTCCAAAATCATTATACGAACCTATTGGAACCGTCAAATTCCAATTCCGAGGTCGTTTACTCAAAAAGTCAACTCAAGTCAAACTTAGCCCTTTTTAGCCAACATTAAGGAACCGAGTGTTCCGATTTCAACCCGAACCCTTCCAAACCCGAACCAACCATCTCCACAAGTTATAAAATTGTAAAATCACATACGGGGAGTCTTATTTAGGTGAACGGGATTCTAGAAAGTAAAAAAGACCGGTCGGGTCGTTACATTTGAGCGGTAAATTGGTAAAACAATGGAGGTTTATATTGATGATATGTTGGTTAAGTCTCTTAATGCAGGAGATCATTTGGCTCATCTACAAGAGACATTTGATATTCTGAGAAAATATAACATGAGGCTCAACCCTCAAAAATCTTCTTTCGGACTTGGTTCCTGAAAGTTTGGCCTCTCAAAGAGGAATTTAAGTAAACCCAGATAAGATCAAAGCCATCGAGGATATCCCGGATCAATTGACAAGTGCGAAGGAGGTGCAATGGTTAACCGGAAGATTGGTGGCTCTAAGCAGATTTATATCAAGACCCTCGGAGAAATGTCATTATTTCTTTTCGCTCTTGAAAAAGAAGAATGATTTCATGTGTACTCCGGAATGTCAACAAGCATTGAGAGACTTGAAAAGGTACCTGTCTAGTGCTCCGCTGTTGTCAAAACCGATGGAAGGTGACCAGTTGTTAATTTATTTAGAGTTTCGGAAGTATGACAAGTGTTGTTCTGATCCGAGAGGAGAAGGGTATGCAATTTCCTATTTATTATGTTAGTAAAGTTTTATTGGGAGCGGAGACACGTTATCCGCACCTTGAAAAGTTAGCTCTTGCTCTCGTAGTCGCCTGTTGAAAGCTTAGGCCTTATTTTCAATGTCATCCCATAGCCATTGTCATAACTTTTTCCTCGAGGAATATCCTTCATAAGCCTGAATTATCGGGTCTATTAGCTAAATGGGCAGTCGAAGTTAGTGAATTCAGCATTGAATATAAACCCATGACTGTGATCAAGTCACAAGTTTTTAGCCGACTTCGTGGCTGACTTTTGTTCGGGGATGATGCCTTTAGCTACTAAAGAAGCAGTTCTGGTGTTGGGGACTGTCTCTGGTGTTTGGACCTTGTTTACGGACAGAGCTTCCAACGTAAAAGGGTCCGTCTTGGGATAGTATTAATCACTGATTCGGGAGAAACCTTGAGACAGACCATTAGAACTGTACCATTAACTAACAATGAGGTCGAATACGAGCCTTTGGTTGCAGGACTTGAGTTAGCCTTTGGAACTGAAGTCAAGTAAGATATGAGTCAGCAAATAGTTGGCACTGGATACAAGCATGTGACCGGTGCTGAATAAGTTCCGAAGGCAATTGAACTGAGAACGAAGATTTGCAAGGAAGACATCGGTTAGAAAAGACAACATTCAATGAGCAGCCGTTACAAAGAATCTCTGTATTAACGTTCGACCATTATGTAGCCATCAATAGGATTTTATTCTCATTCAACAAGAGTTTGATTTGGTGATCTTGTCTCCTTGAATATAGCTATAAGTAGGAGAATTTGTATCCATAGTTAGACACGAAAAATCATCTGTACTCAAAAGGCTATAATTTGTTCTAACTATATCAAATTATTCTCTTTTCTTTTATTCTTAATATTGCTCTTATTACTGCTTCCGGAGAAGCTATATCTATAGCTAGACTTGTATTTTCTTCAAGTTATTTTAATAAACTTATTTATGTTCTTATTATTTTCATATTCTCTTGGATCAAACTAATTCACGTGTCTATAAACCGCGTTACAAATTCAACTATGTTATTTTACGGGTAAACACCTAATTTTCATTTTATGTGAAACTATGTTTTTTTTATTAATCTGTGAAAATTGTTATTCTTAAACTAAACTGTAATAATAATTCGGTGCGAAAGAGGATCAAAAATAAAAAAAATAAAAAAAAAAGAAACGAAAATCACACTATCATTCCTTTTATCTTTTCACCTTTCTATATTTTATGCTAAAATGGAAGTAGATATTTGCTACCATTTAACATGGTAGTGTTATCACCACAAGCATACCTACCACGTTGTGCCAAATTTTTAACAGAAAAGGATGAGGTTTCTCTTTCTCTGCTCGTTGTCTACACGGTGAGCATTCAAGATTTGATATGCTCAATACTTCTCTTATATGGCAAATCTTGAGAATTATTCAAGACCCTATCATGTTCTGATAGGAACATGTCACAGTTAGTACCTCCAAGCTTGTAAGTACCTGCTTTTATTTGCCCTATTTCAGTATTAAGAATTGAAAGTTAGGGAACTTTCTTGAAATCCTGTTTGTAGTTTTCAAGAATTTTTGAACCCTCTGTTGGAAGATATGGATACATTGTTGAAAACCCCAAATAAGCTTGAGTTTTTGTACCCACTTGATGGATTTTCTGTTAAAGCTAGCTCCTTTAACTCTGTAAAGCCCCATAAGTTTGGTTCTAGGAAATTTTGTGAAAATTGGGGTAAAGGGGTTTGTGTTAAGGCTAGTAGTAGTGCCCTTTTGGAGCTTGTACCTGAGACCAAAAAGGAAAATCTTGATTTTGAGCTTCCCATGTATGACCCTTCAAAAGGTCTTGTTGTAGATCTAGCTGTGGTTGGTGGTGGACCCGCTGGACTTGCAGTTGCACAGCAGGTTTCAGAGGCTGGACTATCGGTTGTTTCAATCGATCCATCGCCGAAGTTGATATGGCCCAATAACTATGGTGTTTGGGTGGATGAATTTGAGGCCATGGATTTGTTGGATTGCCTCGACGCCACATGGTCAGGTACTGTTGTTTATATCGATGACAACACAACTAAAGATCTTGATAGACCTTATGGAAGGGTTAATAGGAAACAGCTTAAGTCCAAAATGATGCAGAAATGCATACTAAACGGTGTTAAATTCCACCACGCCAAAGTTATAAAGGTAATTCACGAGGAAGCTAAATCTATGCTGATTTGCAATGATGGTGTAACTATTCAGGCAACGGTGGTTCTTGATGCAACTGGCTTCTCAAGATGTCTTGTTCAGTATGATAAGCCATATAATCCTGGATATCAAGTAGCTTATGGCATATTGGCGGAAGTGGAGGAACATCCCTTTGATACAAGTAAGATGGTTCTCATGGATTGGCGAGATTCACATCTTGGTAATAATATGGAGCTGAGGGAGAAAAATAGAAAAGTTCCAACTTTTTTATATGCCATGCCATTTTCATCGAATAGAATATTTCTTGAAGAAACCTCACTTGTTGCTCGTCCTGGATTACGTATGGACGATATTCAAGAAAGAATGGTGGCTCGTTTAAATCACTTGGGTATAAAAGTTAAGAGCATTGAAGAGGACGAGTATTGTGTAATTCCGATGGGAGGCCCTCTTCCTGTATTACCTCAGAGAGTTGTTGGAGTTGGTGGTACAGCTGGTATGGTTCATCCCTCAACAGGTTATATGGTAGCAAGGACCCTAGCTGCAGCTCCAGTCGTCGCTAATGCAATAATTCAGTACCTTGGTTCTGAGAAAGACCTTTTTGGTAATGAGTTATCTGCAGCTGTTTGGAAAGATTTGTGGCCCATAGAAAGGAGACGTCAAAGAGAATTCTTTTGCTTCGGTATGGATATTCTTCTGAAACTTGATTTACCCGCTACGAGAAGGTTTTTCGATGCCTTTTTTGATCTAGAACCTCGTTATTGGCATGGCTTCTTGTCATCTCGGCTGTATCTTCCTGAGCTTATATTTTTCGGGCTGTCCCTTTTCGCTCGCGCTTCAAATACTTCTAGAATAGAGATTATGACAAAGGGAACTCTTCCTTTGGTAAATATGATCAACAATTTGATACAGGATACTGAATGACTTACCAGGAATCTTGTTGAATATTACATAGCGTGTGTTAATACACTGCTCTTTTTTTTTCCTTTTTCTTTTTCAAATAATTGCAATAGTAACTATTTCCATTTTCCGATTTTCTAATTTTATTGTTACTCACTATTGTGGTTGCCTTTTATTTTCATTCTCCTGTCTTCCCCGTTTACTGTGCTTGTTGTGACCTATGTTGCTTGGACTCTCTTCTCTCCAAAAGTGGAGCCGCACCTGTGTCGGATCCTTCAAAAATGCACTAAATTTGGAGGATCCGACATGCACCCAACAACATTTTTGAAGAGTCCGAGTAACATAGGTTGTGACTTTCCAAAATAGACGGTGCTAAAATGCCTGCTGATGAGAACACTGGTTTAGTTAGAGCAACAAGTATCATGAAGTAAGAGTTCCTGCAGGCAGAAAGTTTAGTATAGAATTATAAGAGAAATGAAATGATGATACAATTAAGAAATTTATTCTTTTCAGTTATGTCTTTGTGTAAAGACACATCTGCATATTCATGTTTATATACACAAGTAGAAGTGTAAGTTTAATGTGTAATTGCAGTTGTAGCATGGGTTGAATGTCTGAACATCTGAAGGATGGTGTGGAAAAACTATATAGGGAAAATTATATGCTTATTTTTCTGTATAAGTTCTGATCATATTAAACATCCAGTTTAACAAAATTGTTGACATGGGCTGATAGAACACTGATTGCCCCTTCACTTTTCTATCCTTGTTTGCTTCCCGTCCTGAAGCCAAAATGGCGCCGACAAAATAATCTCAGTTCTCTACTCTGTAAGACAAATCTGACTTTTCCTCCTACTTCCATGAAACTGTCAAGCAATTCTTGAAGATTCTGGATCACTTGTTGAAAGAAGAATTGATTGCAGAATAGGTCTGCTTAAATGCCAAGAAAAGAAGAAAAGTTGCTGTAAGCAAAGAAATAACATCCTTGGACTGCTAACATTGTAGCTCCGCATCTTTGTCCTACAATCATAGTGTCCCTGGATCATCTCTTCCTGTCAAAACTTGCATATTGTTCACAGCAGATGTATTTAGCTCACCAAAATTCCCAGACACTTGCTTTACTTTCATGTCTGTCTATGCGACTGTCGAGTTTCCATATGCTTGCATATGTCACAAGGTGTTGTTTCCTAAACCAACCTATCAAGATATGCTCTATTGTTGTTTGATCTAAACTCTAGTGCTAAGTGGTGGTAAGTACTATTGAAATATATGATACATAAAATCGGAAACCCCCTACCCAAATACTATTACTAATCCAAAAATCATCATGGAATATTAATGTCGTCATTTATGTTGAGGGACGAGACTTTTTATTGCCATGTGTCGTCACTTTCATCATAGTTCTTGCCCCTTATGCAATGAGCAAAAAACAACTAATCACAGAAAAAAAGTAGTAGTAGTAGTAGTAGTAATAATAATAATAGTACTGGCTACAATTTGGAAAGAATTAGAACACCTCCACAAATAGAAAAGAATCCAAAAATAACAATGAAAAAAGAAGACGAGAAACTGGACTCCAATGACTAACATTCCTGACATATATTTTTCTTTTTCTCGTACAAACTGATGAACTATGACAATTATCAAGAATTGACCTAACATTATTTCATGTCTGCCACAAAATTTATTTTTCTATATTTCCGACAAAAAGTAAGTCTCATTTCCAAATTATCTACACTGCCGCTTAGCAAAATTTGGTGCAGATATCAATTTCTTTAACAATGTTTTCAATCTTCTGGCGCCAATTCCAGGCCTTAGAACGCCATATTTCTCACCTTGGAGACTAAAACAACCTCGCTCATCGTCATTGGTGCACCATCCTCCGGCTGAGAACTGTCCATTTCGTCTTCTGAGAATGTCACGATCAATTTTATTAAGGACAGGGTTGTTGTTCTTGAACTTCCGGGCAAATGGCCTGTTGCTTAAGATCATTCTTCTGTAATCCTTTGGACCAAGGGATCGAGGATGTTGTCTCGGGGGGTTGTCCCAAGTTATGTAATGAAGATCATGGTTCACTGTAGTGTTCTTGTATTCCTCGGAGTTGCATATGACTGTTTGGAAATAACCCTCTGGTGATGACACAAAATTAGTGTAGTAGAGAAGAAGAGTTCTTGGAAGGTTTTCCCAGCCTATTATGCAGTATTCTGCAAAGGATCTGGACAATATTGTCCAAGCTGAACCTGCAAATATATTTTATGTTAGTTCTTGTTAACAATTTTATCTTATGGAATGTCGAAAAATAGCAAATAACGCGTCCGCACACAGTTCATCAACAAACTGACGAGGAAATGTCAAGTCTAATTTAGACTTTAACTTCTATGCAATCACATCATTTCAGATCACCTAAAAGATAACAATAAGTAAACATCAATAAAAAGTGTGATCGGCAACCTTGAAAATAAGGTAGATTATCCGCTACAACAAGTTAAAATACCCTAAGAGTGTAAAAATTATTTACATCGTCACTATATGTAAGTTAAACCCTTTGATTTAAACTTCAGTCATTCTCCTCCAACCCCAACACGAAAGAATGAAATAACAAGGAAAAGAGTAGCTGTTCTCCAGTCATGGTCTAATTACACACATCTGGATATATAAAAGTATAGATCATGAGAAATGAGCTAAAGAAGATGATAATAAAATAAATTGGAATTGTTGAAATCTTGAATTATCCATCAAAATGAAAAAGAAATAAAATCAAAATCTTGAGTCTTATATATACAATTATACACACACAAATTCAAAAGGCAGCACAAGCATGTGCCATCAAGTTCTATCCATCAAAGTAGAAATTCTCACTAGAGGTGGTGAATTGCAATATGAATACAATTAAGATCTAGGCCTTGTGACACTTTTGTACCTTAATAACTTTAGGTGCTAATTAGATCTTTAAGAAATAAATTCTCCCAAAGCACTGAGATTTTAATTGTTCAGTACTACCATAGAGCACAATCTAGGAACCCAAAAGAATGATTCTACTTGAACCAAGTGCAGAGCATGTGTCTATGACATTAACATGTGCATTTTCTTGATAATGTAGTTCAAACTAGGTTTTTTTAGTCTTTTAATACTTTTACCTTTGTTACTGCTTAGTTTTTGTCTAATGGAACTTATTTCTATGCTGCTCGGCTCTTCAAAAACACCGCTGGACGTGTGTCAATGGAGGACCCGACAGGGGTGTGGCAACATTTTTGGAGGGTCCGAGCTAGATAGCTTATTTTATGAATATCTTGTTTTTCTAGTAAAAGTTTTAATCATTTAGCTTGAAGAAAGGTTACTCATTTTGTGGTTATAGATAGTTAAACCTTTTCAAGGCAGCAAATAAAAGTAAAAGCTATTTTCCTCTTCATTTTCTCTATATTGAAATAAGGATTAAAGGTAATGGATAAAAAAAATGAAGATTTAATAAGTCAGAAGATACTAATTAGACCAACTTTCTCTTAGCATTTATTTCAAAATATGTCTAAAATTTAATAATTTCTGCAAATAGGTTTATATAACATATTTAGCAAAAGGTACTTCAGCCCCTCTTTTTATGGTCTTTGCTGTCTTCAAGAGTCACATGCATGGGTTCATTGGATGTCTTGCCACTACATTTATTTTATTATCTCTTAGAATATTTGAAGCCACAAATAATAAATAAAAAATTCAAAGAAAAATAACCTGTATAAAGCTTGAAAGCAGTTGGAAGACTTCTTTGCTTGATAACCCACCAGATCTCTGATTTGTTTAAACTATGTAGACCAGGGTCTATTATAATTGGCTTTCCTCTCTTATTCCTAGATAAAAAAATATATTTTTGAGTACTATGGAATTTCTTAATAAACAAACAATTTACACATTTATAACTATTCTTAAAAAAAAAAAAAAAAAAAACTTACAGTTTCCAACCCATGTGGCTGGTGTGTTGTACAAAATTTAGATCCCTTGGTATGTCAGAGAAGGCATGGATCAGATCTGAGAACATGATGAGAAAACATTAAAAGAGAGAACTATGAAAAATTAGTACAATTGAAGTATTGAACTCATATTGGAAAATTAATATTTGAAGGAATTCATACATTTTGTATAAACTAAACAAAGTATTCTTCACTGCATTTTGAGAAAATGAAATGTGAAGGAATCAAGGAAATTTTTTTTTTTCCTTCTAAATTCAGAAATGTGAAGGAATCAAGGAATCAAGGTCTATGGTATGCAATCTTACTCTGCATTTTTGCAAGAGGTTAATTTTACGGTTCGAACCTGTAACCTCCCGGATACATGACATTAACTTTACCAGCCAATTTTAAAAAAGAAAAAAAAATAAAAAAAGAGAGAGGCACTCACCATACCATCTTGAGTAACTAAAGGATAATCAGAGGCACTGAGATTAATAAACCAATCCCATTTAGCAATCTTCAAAAGCATAGACATTGCATGAAGTGTAGTAGCAAGCATAGTTGGTCCTCTATATGTTACCAAATTAGGCTTTCCCACAATCCAAACATTATTAATTTCTCCAAAAACAGTATTTCCACCCACAAATCTTGAAATCTCTTTGTGCTCAGCTTCTGGTGCATCTAAATCCAAATGAATCAAGTAAAAATTCCCAGGATGGTATAGAGAAAACAGCAGCCTTTTCAACTTTGCTACATCTCCTTTAGAAGCAGAGATCAAGTAAGCAAATTTTACAGGGTAAGGTTTACTAGTATTAGAAATGATGAAGCTTTTAGTTGGCTTGAAAATAGTGATTGGTGATTGAGATAATCGGGTGGGTATGTAAACAAGAATGAATAGAACTGAGGTTAGAATGAAAGAAAACATAAAAAGTTTGATACCCATTACAAAGATTTAGCTAAAAAATCAAGAAATTTGAGAACTTTGTGAAGTAAGTAGTTCTTGTTCTGCTAGAAATTAAAGGGAAAAATGGCTGCCTCTAATAGTGGGTAGTTAATGGATGTTGGTGAAGGGAGGTTAAAATAAAGAGAATAATAGCAAAAGGCAAAAGAAGAGTGTAGATGAGTTCTTTGGTTAGTTTGTTCCTTTCTTGGAAGTAAAGTGTGGAGAAAATGAAGTGAAGAGAACTCAATTTGTCACTATTTTCAAGGGGTTGGGTATTAAGTCACTTTTGTTAATGGTGATCATTTGACCAAATTTCCCACCTAATGTTGCTTTTAAAAACTAGTCACTTTCTCCTGCTTCTACTTCTTCCTCCTTTCTGTTTTATTTTCTTTTTCTTTTTTTAACTTATTATTCCCTCCGTTTCATATTAGATGAGGTAGTTTGACTCGGCACGGAGTTTAAGAAAAAGAAGAAGACTTTTGAAACTTGTGGTCTTAAAAGCTTAAGAGGTAAAAGGTTTGTGGGACCATGACATTTGTGCGGCTATAAAAGCTTCTCATTAAGGGTAAATGGGTAAAATGAAGAATTTAAAATTGAATTATTTTCAAATTTTGAAATGTATCATTTGTTTTGGAACAGACTAAAAAGGAAAGTAACTCATAATAAATTTGGGATCTATGGCCAAACGCTAGCTTGAAATTTTTAAAAACTCTAAAAAGCTGTTTTTCAAAATTTTCACTCAAACCACTCACAAAACTTCAAAAACAACCAAAACTGAATTTTATGTCCAAACACAACTCTAAATTTCAAATACCATTTTCACTTGAAATTTTTTTTACCATTTTTGGAATTTTACAATTCTTATGTCCAAACGCCTGCTTAAACTTCATATTAAATCAAACACCAACATATAAAACTGGGAAAATGAAGTATATGTTATGGCATTCATATCTTTTTTTTTCTCATTGAAAATAAGGTAATATTAAGCTAATAATTCCTTAACTGACAAAAAACAAATTCAATTCTCATATAGTCCTAACAATCATAAAAAAATAAAAAATAAAAAAAAACACTTCTCCAAGAACACTGTTATGGGTAAATTTAAAAAGGGGCATTTTATATATAATATTTTTGGGACCATCATTGAAGTTATACCCGTATCGCAAAAAAAATTTAAAGTGTATCCGCTCGGATATGAAGCACTTCAATCTCTTCAATGTGACTTCAGGAATCAAATTTGAAGTTCTTCTATTTATTAAGGCCCCGTTTGGCCATGAATTTTGTCAAAATAAATTTGGGATTTATTTTCAAAACTCATGTTTGGCCATAAATTTTGCCCATATTTTGGCCAAATCCCAAATCCCAAATCTCAAATTCCAAAATCAGCTATTGAGCTGATTTTGGGCCAAAATCCCAAAACTTGGGAATTATATACATGTTATTCCAAAATAAAGCTGAAAAATATGTTTTGAAAACGTATGTCCAAACACATTTTTATCTTCAAACCAAACTTCATCCAAATCAGATTTTTCAAAATAAATTTGGGATCTATGGCCAAACGCTAGCTAAATGCAACTTCAGAAATTTGAATATGAAGTAGTTCAATCTCTTTAATGCAATTACGGAAATCAAATCTGAAGTTATGAAATATAAACTTGTTCTTCGAATTTCAACAACCCAATACACAATTCAATGTCCAAATCTACTCCAAATGAGCTCAAATTTGAAACATAATTTTTAAATATTATAATGAACAAATCTAAATCATCAAATTATCAAAACAACAAATTTAACAAATCCATTTTGCAATTAAAAAGAAGAAGAAACTCTAAGCACAAAGAAGAAAACAGTAAAGAAGAAGAGAAAAGTGTATGTATCTAAAATTATCCAAATATTAGCTATAGGTTAAACTTTTTGTTAAAAAAGACAATAAAAATTCAATGGGTGACGTAAAACTGGACGTCACTTGAAAATTTTACTTTTTTTCTTTTTAGCAACACTGAATGAAAATGCAGCACAGTGGTTGCAATTTTGACCCCTTTTCTATCTTGCCTTAATACTAGTCATGAGCCTACTGTCGTAATAGAAAGGAATTTTTACCTCCGATACCAAAAATTGATACCTTATTTAATTTAATAAATATTCTTTTAAAAAATGCTATTTCATAGCTACCTTTTGATTTTTATAGCCAAATATCTATTTATGGTCATCTTCTACCATTAAGCCATAAAATACGCTTTGTATTATTTTGCTCTTTCATTCTTTCAAATTTTTCTCCACCCTCTCTCTCTCAACGCCAGTCTTTCTCCATAAATACAACCATGATTCTCCACTGATTATTTCTATTATCGAACGAAATTTTCACTGTTAGTGGCTTGGGACTCTAAATCAACGTCGAAATCAAGCCCTAGAGAGAAATATGAAGGTTTGAAATCTGTTATTCAACAGCAATATGCCTATTAATGTACTGTTATCGTCTCAATAACCTGTAAACACAATAGTCAGAAAGTACGAATACCAATTTTGCCTGCTCTACTTTTTATGAGTTGATGACTGGGATTCACCCTTATAGAAGCTCGATGTTATTACGTGGGCCTAACAATGTCCAAATTAAGAGTGAGGTACGCTACTACTTAGGAATTTCTCAATGTCTTATGTTTCGTATCACTGTCAAAATCTGACATAAGATAAATTGGGGCTGATAATGGAGGTTCGAAATCTGCTATCGACGAGACGACATTAGGGTTATTCCTGAACAAAGACGATGGAGTTTGGGGCTGAGCAACTTGAAGAGTTTGTTACTTTTTTTTTCCGTTGTATTTCAATGTATCTCGCTGTATTCTATGTATTTCATTGTAGCCATTGTCTTTCTTTTTTTCAATTGTATTTCAATGTTTCTCGTTGTATTTCATATATTTCATTGTATTCGCTGTCTCACTATATTCCATGAATGTATTCATATGTTTTTTTTAATTAATATAATTTATGTATTCAGATGTATTTATGTATTCAGATTTATAATTGAGTTTGTTGAGTTATATTATGAGTCTATTTATGTTAATTGATTCACTTTCCGTTTAAAAACAACTGAATAGACCACGATTTACGCTATTTACGTTACTGTATTCACAAATACATATTGTGAATACAATCGAATACAATAATTGCCTAGTTGTACTCTCTTGTTTCACGTCGAATACAGTAGCTTAAATACATCGAATACACTCTAGCAAAACTAAAAACATAGCTATAGAAAATAATATAGTAAATGATAGTTACAACTAGCTAATAACCACTAAATAATAGTGATTTATGAAAATTTCTCTAATAGACAATTAAAAGCCCAAATAGTAGTTGCTCGAATTCTACATTATCCTTTCACAATAATACGTCAAATGCACTTTAATAAGATAACCAAAATCGATATACTTGCTTGTTTTTATTAGGGGTTTGGGCTGTCATAAATGAGTCAGTTGAAGTGGGTGTGTAATCATTTAAGCCCACATCCGTCTCCGAATTGGACACCCACATATGACAAATTCCACTAATAAGTCATATGAAAGACATGATTAGATTTTGTCTTTAAAGTGTTTGCCTTAATGGCGAAAATAGAATAGGAATTATTATTTTTAGATTAATATGAGAAACAAAATGCCATTTTTAAGATGTGAATCTGGTTGGAATTGAGAGAGCTGATGAGGTTAACGAAGTGAACGGAAAATATTGACAATGTGGGAACAGTGGCGGAGCTATGTACGGTGAAGACAAGTTCAATTTAATTCCCTTTGTGCCCTATGTATATAGGTAATTTTTTTTATGTATATACATAAAAGAAAATATGTCCCAGTTTTTGAAGCATAAAGAGTCTCTAGCTTTTCGCACAATGATCTCACATGTGTCTCATTAACAATATGATCGCGAACATTATCTTCAACCCATTGTCGTATATATCCACATACTTGTTGGTACTCGAAATCTCAATCTTCATCAGATATAGTCTCGGGTTTATGAGCTGCAAAAAACGGGTAGATGCATCTTCTTCGCGAACAACAAATCTATTATCTTGCTTCTCCAAACATTATAATTTCTCCCATTTAAATATACCATCTTGTTCATACTCGCCTCCATTCCGTAACAACCCGGATAAATAACCAAGGCTCTGATACCACTATTATGTCGAGGAAGAGGCAAACCCGAAAATAAAGAAGATAAGAACACCAAATTTTAACGTCGAAAACCCTTCAAATCGAAGGTAAAAATCACGGGATCACAAAAATCCAAAACTGGAGCTGCTGTTTGGGGCACGAAATCAGATGCTACATGCCTCAAAATCCGATCTTCACCGTTCAAATCAAAGACAAGACGTTACAAACACTCAGTCAAAATTTCAGCCCGATCCAACAGTTAACAAATCGGTAAACGGGATTTGAAGTTAGCTGGTTGGAATAAAATCTGCAGCAAAATGAATATTTCTCTTCTCTCTTATCTCTTGATGAAAGCTCTCTCAAAAACCACTCTTATGTGCTTAAGTCTTTCAAAGACTTGTACCAATGAGCATGAATAATTCTCAAGGTTGTCCTATTTATAAATAATAAGTGGTGGTTTCTCTTAAAGCCAAAACCAACTCTAAATAGGAATAAACACCGACTCCAATTCCAAATAGGAATGGAAACCAAAAGAGAATAGGATTAACCCATTGGGCCTTTGACTGGACAACATGGGCATGTGCCCAACACAAGGAAACATGTGGACTTGGGGAAAGAAGGGGTGGGAGGGGGAGGGGGGGATGAGGAGAGTACCATAAAAAGTATTTTCCTAGAAAAACAATTTCTACTCTCTAATCAAAGGATACACCTAGAGCATACGAGAATGATCATCAATGAATATCACAAAGTAAAGTGCACCACCTTTTGACTTTATTTTAAAAGGAGTGCACAAATTAGAGTGTACTAACTCTAATAAATTGGGCTTTCTTGAGAGAGGATGGCTATGAAAGGAAACCCTTTTCTGTTTGCCAGCTAAACAATAGATATACCTTTTCAGCTTTGCTTGTTTCACTCCAGAAATCAAATTTTTCTTAGCCAAACACGTAACCCCCCTCTCGCTCATATGAC